ATACTGTGTTCATGGTCCATAGTTTGTCCGAGCAATCTAAAGGTGCCTTTTCATACGCAGCATGCAGCAGCAGCAAATTAGTCACGTGATCCAAATTCACTAAAGCATATTTGCTGCTCATGGAAAAGGAATAGCTGCAGCAGCACTGGCCGGCTAGATCGCGTGTCTGCTGCTTTGCTGTTCGTTCAATTGAACTTCACAGCGATGAAGCAAAATATGGTGAAATTTATTTTGCAGCATCTAGTAACAATTCTTCAACCAATAGCAGCGAGTTGCTGCGGCAGTATGCTGCGCATGAAATGGTACCTTAAAAGCTGAATTTCCCCATGCTGCGCCCTCCTAGGGAACAAACAGGAAAGAAGTTGGTTCAACTGGTTGTTTCCATTGGCTGTGAATTGTTGTGAGTTGCGCGACGAGAGGGAGGCGATCTCGCGCGCGGCAGTAAGCAGCGAAATAAATAACCAGAGGTAAATTTGGCTGTCGACGTATTACCTCGATAATATAAGATCTCGAGCGTTCGCGGATAATCGAGACATCACGTTGTCCCTGCCGAGTGGCAGTATTGTAACATACACAAAGATTTTCAATAATTGGAGCACTATTGCAACAGTATATTCCTGAGACCAAATCAAGTCAAAAAGTCCTGTACTACTTTTCCCTCCGACAAACAGTTGTCGAGATATCATAAGCTAAACATTGAAAAAGTTATAAAATTTTCTCTTAAATATCTCCAAAAGTATTAGGCAATTATTCAAGGTCAAATTAATAACACCATCTTATGTCAACCTCGAGACCAAACAACTTTTGTCTGAAACATTTTTCACCAAAATGCATATTTTTCCAAATTAACGCCTGATACGGTCATACATGTTAACTCAATAAAATTTTTTAAAAATGTATACAGATAGTTTATTCCACTAAATATAAAAATAAGGAACCTTTTGATATATTCGGGTACATGTGTAAATAAGAAATAATATGTAAATTTACTAATGTGTTACAGATGGCGAATGAGCATCAGAGATTATTGCAACATTTAGAAAAGGTTGAAAACAAAGCTGGTGAAATTCTCACTGATCGTGGGGAAATAGTTGCTCTAGATAAGAGAAGAAACGACGATCGTGTTGGAATGAGAGCATTGCAGAAACAGGTGCATCCAAAAATATGGATCACAGTCGGACCCTTACTTTTAAAAATGCCATCTAAAGCAGCTCAAGAATTATTGGAAAAAGGTCATTTTAAACAAACGGGTGTAGAAGAACAAATTTATTTATATTCTATAATTTCGGTATTTTTTACATTATATTACAGATCAGAGAGAATGTGATACTGCTATTAGCAAGCTAAGAAGCGACTTAAAGATAAAGGTAAATGAACTACGTGATATAGAGTTGACACCACCGGTACCTGGGTTGATGTTAGAACCCATGTCTCGCAAAGAGATGGAGGCAGTCGGACAAATTTTCGGTCCAAGTGTCTAATATTTAATAAAGTTTCTTCGTTCAGAAGTGTAATTAGAATAAGAGTAAATATATGAGTTTAAAATATTTTTAAGTTTAATTCTGTACTCAAACTTTTGTATACATATAATATAAAATATATGTATAACATTATATATATCTAAAAATTATCTCCTACACGTGGACTCATTTCAATAATATAATATGCAAGTGATGAATATGACTAATAAATCATACATATTCATCACTTCGGATAATAAAGAGTGAAATAGCATACGTTTTTTTATATTGTTGCATTCTCGCTGCCTCCATCCGCGCCTGCAACACACGACACTCACGCACTCGTATACATATAAAGCAGACTCTTCACTAATTAAATACGTTTATTAAACTGAAATCTACGGCTCGTGAAGACAACTCCGAGAGACGATCGATTTTCTTTTCGTTGCTGAGGAAGCGCCGCACGATCCTTTATTTCTTCAACGGCAGACTTGAATCGCAGCAAAGGGCTAAAAAGAGAATCGATCGTCTCTCTCGGAATCTTTCGGAGCTCTCTTCTCGAGTATAATATACTTGCTACCACATATTGCCGAAACTTATAACGCTATAAAGATGTTTATTTCTCTGACGTTGTTGATAAATGCTATATTAATATAAATATAGTATAAACGCTACAGTACGATAACACAAAATTAACTGAAACTTTTAAAGAAATCCGTCACAATATATAAAAATTATGTGCGTTGTGCATAAATATATGCATTATCTAGATATCTTGTACATAAAAAATTATTCTCTTAAATTTGTATATTACTCAGCACGCCTCAATTCCAAGTATTTCTCTACGTCTTCAAGAAACCATGGTTGTAAGAACAAATATATTTTATTATCAGGCGCTTCTTCACTATAACTTACAAGACGTTTACTGGATGACTTCCAGTAAAATTTGTACATGCATTCATTGTGATCTTTAGTCACAATTTTCTTGACCTTGTCTAGGAACATCTTGCAAAATATTTTGCATTTGTTTACATCAAAAACCGAGTACTGAAAGTTTAATAATTTTATTATACACTAATGTATCCTTCAATCTCTTGTCATATAATTGTTTAAACAAAACTATTTACCTTTGAAATTTTTGGCAGATCATCCGTACGATATTCTTTTATCATTGTCACTGTGTCACATCTTTCACTGTTAGTAGGGGAAACCTTTAATCCACATATAATTTCTTTTATGTCCACCAAGTAGTTCTGACTCCACCAGTCTACTAATCTCGAAGAAATGTTACGGTTATTTCCAATCATATGACGCCTTGGAATAGTTTTCAACTCGATCAATTCAAAAGTTTCGTCGATATCTGTTAAAAACTGTTGCTCTGTTATACGCTCTTGCGAACAAATTCCATCTACTTCAGCTCCATATAACAAGGAATATCTGCCAAAGTTTGCTCTAAACATACAGTGAAATTTTTCGCACTCATTAAGAGGTGCTAATGGATCTGGTCTACGTGATGGATCATCTAAGTATAAAAAGTAATACAATAATTAATTAGATTAATTGTATAAAGTGAATAAGCAATCCATTTTGTCTACTATATGCATATATCTCAAGTAAAAGTAATAAATCAGTAAAAGTAATACATCAAATCAAACTTTCATATTTATATAAAAAACAATACAAAATGTGAATACCTGCTAGCATATATTGTTCAAATTTGTACCCCCATGAAGTAATTCGTTTTGTCTCCATTGTTGCGTCTTGTTCCTGACGCTCTTTCTCATCGGTATAAAATGCGCACAAATATATTGTACCACGGTATTTACTGGCACAAATAATCCATTCTTCATATTTGTTAGAATATGGGCTACTCAATATTTTTTTTATTGTTCCACGAGAACTGATAAAGTCGATATCCAACCTAATTAATGTTGTCTCTGATTAGATTAGATTAGATCAAAATAATAACTAAAAATATTAATAATATAAATGGCAAAATGACTTTTTAATAACATTTACAAAATGTACATTGTCTACAGAGAATTTTGTACAACATAATGAGAGATTATTATATATACATATATTTAAATGTCATCCATGTTTAAAATATTTCATCAACATACCACCGTTCTTCCTGTGCTGATAATGGTCTATCTACGAATTGATGGAAATGGCTGAGAATCCACTTCAATATATCATCCAGCTTAATATACTCAGTAGGCTTGTGACGGGTAGATTCAAAATTTATATCGAGATTGAAATTCACATTGTTAAAATCCGGAGGGGAAATATAATATTTTAGTTGCGTCAAGTTATCGTTATATTGCATATTACCATCAATACTAAAATATCCGATCAATTCGGTCGTTAAAGTTGGAACCATATGCCTCGAAAAATTTTCATATTGAATTTTAAACATCATGGCTCCTTTATAAATATTTCCACGGTAAAGAGTACAAAATCTTGTATTGAATCAACAAAACCCACTCGTTTTATGTTCAACGTTTCTGAAACTTTTCTAATCGCGGTCCACTTGGATAAAAAATACGTATGTTTATCTTATTCTTGTCAACCACTCTCGCACAGAGCCGACACAAGCACGTCGAACGTAACTCAATGGTCCACTTGGAATAGTTGAAAGTTGGGATCGAATTGTTGGAATAATACCAACGGTGAATCTTCTTTCTAAATCACCCGTCTCCACAACTGGAGTTGAAACGTTCAGTATCGAGAGATACCTTTGTGCACAAATATCGGCTGATAACATTAAAAAGATAGCGCAACACTACGCAATACCAAGTGCACAACAACGTCAGAAATTCAATCAAATGTAGTGTCGACTCACTCTACAGAGAGATATATATAGCCTACATGCAGCATTCACACTATAAAATAGATCGCTCGCAATCACAGTCGGGGAATCCCCACACAGACAAGTGGGGAGCACACATTTTTGCACAAGCGCATAAGCATATGCAGAAAGAATTTGATTGGTTCATTTCCTTATGCATTTTCTTGTGGACCAATCTAATCTACGTCTCAATCCGTAGTCTTAAGGTGCATTTTCACGTGCCGCTCGAACCGGCCGTTTCAGCGACAAAAAGGGTCACGTGATTACTTTTGTCGCAGAATTGTTACAGCAGCAATTATGGCACATGAAAAATAGCAAGAAGCAGCAAATCTGTGTTTAAAAGACAGTTCTAACCTTCAAGCGACAGGACCTCAAACGTGCTTACCAAGGTGCGTATTATGAAACTGTTTGGAATGAATTTTGATCAGAATTATTAAATTATTTTCTATATTTCTATTGTGTTTTCTAGGAAAGACAGAATAATTCCGAGTTATGGCATCAAAAAAAATATTACAATTGGTTACTAAATTGTAACAAATTCATTTATAAACGTAAAGTCGAATTTGAAAATGATGCAGTTGCAATTGCTATGGCCGGTATTCATAGTCAAATCTTATATTCAAGACCGCCTTAAGATTATCTTTAGATACTCCATAGCCAATGAAACGTTCCATACAGCATCTTTAGATAAATTCAAGACGGTCTTGAATATAAAGCCCGCTGCAGACGATGCTATTTTTCCTGCTGGATTGCTTGCAAT